AGGTTGGAATGCAGTGGCACGATCTCGTTCTCTGCAACCTCCGCCTCCTTGGTTTGAGCAATTCTTTTTTTTTTTTTTTTTGAGACGGAGTTTCGCACTTGTTGTCCAGACTGGAGTACAATGGCGCATTCTTGGCTCACCACAACCTCCGCCTCCTGGGTTCAAGCGATTCTCCTGTCTCAACCTCCCAAGTAGCTGGGATTACAGGCATGTGCTACCACGTCTGGCTAATCTTTTTGTATTTTTAGTAGAGACGGAGTTTCACCGTGTTGGCCAGGATGGTCTCGATCTCTTGACCTCATGATCCACCCGCCTCAGCCTCCCAAAGTGCTGGGATTACAGCATGGGCCACAGCGCCGGACCGCAATTCTTTTTTATTTTTTTGAGACGGAGTTTTGCTCTTGTTGCCCAGGCGGGAGTGCAATGGCACCATCTCGACTCACTGAAACCTCCGCCTCCTGGGTTCAAGCAATTCTCCTGCCTCAGCCTCCTAAGTAGCTGGGATTACAGGCATGCACCATCACACCTGGCTAATTTTGTATTTTTAGTAAAGATGGGGTTTCTCCATGTTGGTCAGGCTGGTCTCAAACTCCTAACCTCAGGTGAGCTGCCTGCCTTGGCCTCCCAAAGTGCTGGGATTACAGGTGTGAGCCACCACGCCTGGCCTCAACCAATTCTGCCTCAGCCAAGATCTCGTCAGGTTGCCCAGGCTGGAACCTTCCTTTTGGTAACATCTTTTTGTAGATGTGACTTTTTTTTTGTTTGAGGCGAGGTCTTGCTTTGTCACCTAGGCTGGAGTGCAGTGGCAGTGTTGTGATCTCAATTCATTGCAACCTCTGCCTCCTGTGTTCAAGTGATTCTCCTGCCTCAGCCTCCAGAGTAGCTGTCATTACAGGGATGCCTCACGGTGCCCGGCTATTTTTTTTTTTTTTTTATGTTTAGTAAAGATGGGGTTTCACCATGTTGGCCAGGCTGGTTTCAAACGCCTGGCCTCAAGTGATCCGCCTTCTTTGGCCTCCCAAAGTGTTGGGATTACAGGCATGAGCCACCATGCTCGGCCTGTAGATGTGACTCTTGCAAATAGCACATATTTATATTTTGTTTTATGACCTTTTCTGAAAGTTTTGTCTCTTGGTGTAAAATATTTTTTATTCTAGTTTCCATCATCTTGTTCTCTGGGCTTTTTAATACCTCCTTGTTGCTGACTCCCCATGCCCACTTAATGAATTGAATAGCAGAACTGGGACTGTTTTTAAATTTTGCTAGAATTGAGGAGTAGACATCATATATATATATATATATATTTCCCCCTCTCTGGTCTTTTGAAGTTTTGTTTCCTGGCTTTTTTTTTTTTTTTTTTTTTTTTTTTTTTTCTTTTTTCTTTTTTTGAGATGGAGTTTCACTCTGTCTCCCAGCCTGGAGTACAGTGCAATCTCAGCTCACTGCAACCTCTGCGTCCCAGATTCAAGTGATTCTGCTGCCTCAGCCTCCGGATTAGCTGGGACTACAGCATGTGCCACCACGCCTGGCTAATTTTTTGTATTTTTATTAGAGACAGGGTTTCACCATGTTAGCCGGGATGGTCTGAATCTCCTGACCTCACGATCTGCCCACCTCAGCCTCTCTAAGTGCTGGGATTACAGATGTGAGCCACCACACCGGGCTATTTCCTGACTTTTAATTCTACAGGTGGTCTCATATTGATTTTTTTTTTTTTCTTGAGATGGAGCCTCGCTCTGTCGCCCAGGCTGGAGTGCGATGGTGCCATCTCAGCTCACTGCAAACTCCGCCTCCCAAGTTCAAGCAATGCTCCTGCCTCAGCCCCCCGGAGTAGCTGGGATTATAGGCATACACAATCGCGCCCAGCTGATTTTTGTATTTTTAGTAGAGATGGGGGTTTCACCATGCTGGCCAGGCTGACCTGGAACTCCTGACCTCAAGTGATCTGGCCACCTTGTCCTCCCAAAGTGCTAGGATTACAGGCATGAGCCACCACACCTCCATCTCTTAAAAAAAAAAAAAAGATTTTTTTGTTTTTTGTTTTTTAACAGATGGAGTCTTGCTATGTTGCCCTGGGTGGTCTAAAACTCCTGGACTCTAGCAGTCCTCCCAACTTGTCCTCCTAAATTGCTGGAATTACAGGTATGAGGCACTGTGCCTGGCCCTATACTGATTTTAAAATGAAATTTACTGTTTTGAGTTGCCTTTTTGACCAGAAAGGAATTGGCTTTATTTCAGAAATTTGAGTAGTATAGTTGGATAGGTTGGGGACTGACTTTCCACCCTGACAAGCGGAGACGTTTAATTGGGAGGCATCTACTCTGGATGTCAGGAGGAAGGTCTAGGTGGCAGGGCAAGAGTACCATGTTTAGGTCTTCCTCTTTGCCAGCTGCTGCTGCATTTCAGTTTAGGGCTTCTAGGCTCTTCCTGGGCATGGTTCCCAGAAAGTCCCTCTGGTGCTACTGCCCTGATCAGGTTTCTGGATCTGTTAATAATACACAACAGCGGGGGAAAGGCCAGCCAGGATCATGGTGGAAACAGGAATAACCATACCAGATGGACAGTTACTGTGCCTGGAGCCCTGTCTGTCTGCTCCCTCCCTCTGTCTCATGAGAGTCCTGCAGCGGGCATGCCTTGGCACCCTGGAACCATATTAACCTTGTGAAAGTCTCCAAGTCCCTGTCCCAAAAATCAGAACATATGGGCTGGTGAGTACTGGTGTGTTCATGAGAACATTGAAACAGAATATAAAATCTAGACTCTCCCAGAAAATCCACTATGACTGATAACATCCCTCACAGATCACCCAGGAGTGAAGGAGGTTGGGCAGCATTGAGTTTGCAAATAGTGACTCAGAAAGATGGTATATAATCCGGCGGTGTAGAAGAGGAGTATGGACTGTGAAGGTGAGGCTTGGAAAAATAAGCTGGCCATGTCGGGAAAGTAGAAATGGAAGAGCAAGACAGGCATGTGAAACAGGGCCTCTATTAAGTCAAATCTGAAATCAGCACAGTTTCCACTATGATGCCCTCCAATCTTCCTGTTCCCCATGAATGGCCTTCCTCCTAATGCCTCCCCTTCCTTCAAACTACTCTTCTTCCATCAAAACCTGCTTTCAGTAAAGAGTACAGTCTGCCGGGCGCGGTGGCTCAAGCCTGTAATCCCAGCACTTTGGGAGGCCAAGGCGGGTGGATCACGAGGTCAAGAGATCGAGACCATCCTGGTCAACATGGTGAAACCCCGTCTCTACTAAAAATACAAAAAAGTAGCTGGGCATGGTGGCATGTGCCTGTAATCCAAGCTACTCAGGAGGCTGAGCCAGGAGAATTGCCTGAACCCAGGAGGCGGAGGTTGCGGTGAGCCGAGATCATGCCATTGCACTCCAGCCTGGGTAACAAGAGCGATACTCCGACTCAAAAAAAAAAAAAAAAAGTATAGTCAACCAAACCTAGGTATAAATTATTTAAAATCTACTTTGAGGCTGGGCACAGTGGCTCACACCTGTAATCTTAGCACTTTGGGAGGCCGAGGTGGGTGGATCACCTGAGGTCAGGAGTTCAAGACCAGCCTGACCATCATGGTGAAACCCCATCTTCAAAAAAAAAAGGAAAAAGAAAATCTACTTTGCCCTTGGGATTAAATTTTTAAAACATTATTTAAAATAGACCAGGCACAATGGTTCATGCCTGTAATCCTAGCACTTTGGGAGGCAGAGGCGGGTGGATTGCCTGAGCTCAGGAGTTCAAGACCAGCCTGGGCAACACGTTGAACCCTGTCTTTACTAAAATACAAAAAAAAAAGTAGCCAGGGGTGGCGGCATGTGCCTGTAATCCCAGCTACTTGGGAAACTGAGGCAGGAGAATTGTTTGAATCCAGGAGGCAGAGGTTGCAGTGAGCCGAGATCACGCCATTGCACTCCAGTCTGGGCAACGGTGAGACTCCATCTCAAAAAAAAAAAAAAAATTATTTAAAATCCTTAAGCCTTCAAAAATTAACACAGATATATGATATTTTAAATGAGATTTTTTAAAAATTAAAAATATAGAAAACTACATGAAGAGAATATATAGCTTAATAAATTAAGAAGTGAAGTACTTAGGACCAGAAATAGCACTTAGGACTAGAAATAGCATTTGGCTAGCTATGCCAGAAGCCAGCTCTGTGTCCCATCTAATCACAATTCCTCCCTTTCCCAACGGTAACCACTATCCTGACTTTTATGGTAATCACTTAGGCGGATTTTATTTTAATGGGACTATAAATACGTAGCTATAATCACTAATGGTAAAATATTAAGCAGTTGAGGGATGCTTTTGGGAACCATGAAAGGCAGCCAGATCTCAGCACACTTAAAATTACACCATTTCCCACAGTTCCCTCCACCTATGCTTCATCTCTGCACACACCTTTATAAACATGCTTGTATGTCCTGAAGGTGATACCTCCTTTCTGGGGGCTATGACCTATAAACTGGAGGTGCTGAACAAATGCTTGTAGGAGGAATGAATGGATGTTTTAAAAAAATGAATTGTTTTACATATTCATCTATGCGTTCTTTCAATATTTATTGAATGCCTAAAATATACATAGATATGAATCTGTCTGTCCCCTATACTCTACCGTCCTTCCTGCCCTCCCCTTCTCCTCATCTTCCTCTTTTCCCACCTTATTTCTTACTTTCCCTGTGCAGCAGAGCTAGACTGAGTGCCCTGCAAAGCAGGATTCAGAGATACAAGAGCAGGCCAGTGGAAACAGACACTGTGGAAAGGAGCCAGATTAAATAAGGGCAGAGACAGTGGTATTACACGCAGGGACCAGAATGAAAAGCAGTGATTCACAGAGCACTGCAACGGAGGACACTCCCTTCACTTTGAGAGCTCCTTCGGGATTGGGGTCAATGAGGGCTGGCATCAAGATGAAGGGCAGCCAGGCTCCTCCTCCCTGGAGATGTGGTGCCCTTAATCCTCTCCACCCCACCCCCACTAGTCCCTCACATTGACCAGCGTCCTGGGCCTTTAAGAGTTGGATGGGCTGGACTGGAGAGAGCTCACACCTCTCCCCTTCTTACTGCTTCCCTCCGGCTATAACTTGCCAGTCACGGCAGCCAGCTGCGGTAGAAGAGGGAAGGAAAAAAGCCAGTGCCAAGGGGAGCAAAAGAGAAAAGGAGCCAGGCTGGGCTTCCTGATCGCATAGCATCGCGGAGCTCGGGAGGCCCAGTTCAGACACAGGACTGCTATTCTGCACAGACACAGGACTGCTGTTTGGCCCTCCTGCCCACGGTAAGAGTCTGGAAGCTCTGACTAGCCTCTGCTCCAAGCTCTGTCTTCCCTGAATTCCTGTCTCTGCCCTCTAGATGCTTACCCACACTGGTTAAATTGTACCCGAGACTCCTTTCCTCACCCTAACAGCCCTACAGGGCTCCCACCTCCCAGTTCTCTCTAGCTGTAATCCTCCTTGATTACAGCTTTCCTCCTGGTTGTGTCAGTATCCCTTTGTATGAGGTATCTCTTAGCTATGCAGGGCCAGGAGTGCCAACCCTAGCCACTCCTGAGATGAGTCCCACCACCAATAAGGGAAGAGAAAATTGAAGTAGCTACGCTTTAGCATAGATTCATTAACAGATTGTTGAAGATTGCGAAATAGGGGTTGGCCAAGAATCATGGGGAATCAGAGATCCCTACTAATAGGAGAGTTATGAGAGTTCCTTAAAAAGAGTCAGGGTTTGAGTTTTATGCCTTGTTCTTTGCCTATTCAATGGGCCAGAGCAATTTCTTAGCACACCAGAGTGCTATGTTGGTAAGAAAACCTACTTCTAGTTCTGCCTGTGCCGTTAACTAGCTACGGGATCCCTAACCACAGCTTTCTGATCTGTGATAGGAGAGAGTTTAGGGTTTCCCAGACTTGCCTGGGTACTAGGTGTACTTGTTAAAAATAAATATATTAGGCCGGGCGCGGTGGCTCAAGCCTGTAATCCCAGCACTTTGGGAGACCGAGACAGGTGGATCACGAGGTCAAGAGATCGAGACCATCCTGGTCAACATGGTGAAACCCCGTCTCTACTAAAAATACAAAACATTAGCTGGGCATGGTGGCGCGTGCCTGTAATCCCAGCTACTCAGGAGGCTGAGGCAGGAGAATTGCTTGAACCCAGGAGACGAAGGTTGCGGTGAGCCGAGATCACGCCATTGCACTCACTCCAGCCTGGGTAACAAGAGCGAAACTCTGTCTCAATAAATAAACAAACAAACAAACAAACAAACTATTGAGCCCCATCCTGGGAAACTCTGATCTGGTATATTTTTGGGTAGGGCTAGGGGATCTCAATTTTAAGACATTCCAGAGGCTATTGATGTAGCTGGGAATGTCTGGATTAGGTGTGTTATAAAAGAACCTTCAAGTGCCAACGTTCTATGACCTGTGACCAGAGCCATTCTGTCCTCTATATGAACCAGGTTAGGCATAATCCTCAGAATCAAGGGAGTAGACAAAATGATTCTCTTCTTTCTTGCCCCTCAGAGAGACCCGAGACACCCTGAATCCTACTGTAATCTCCTTGGTGCCGTTGGCAACTCTGCCAAAGTCCATCTCTGGGTGACGTGAGGTCACTTGGAAATTGAGGACCAAATCGTGCTCTGCAGCTCTGGGCTACTTTTCCCCTCATTTGGTGTCTCTATTTTCATGTCTGTATTAGAGAGGTAATTACTATATCATTAAAGATCTCCATATATGTGTCTGGAATTAATATTTAAGACCAAACTCTCTAATTCTCAGACATCATTCTCTGTTTTTCCCAGTGCCCTTACTCCCAAGTCCTTTGCTCCTTCTCTCCTCACTGCACCTGCATCAGCTGTGGCATCCTTCCTATTCTATCATTAGATTGCAGAGGAAACAGCAAGACCTAGAACATCTAGGTTCTAATTCACATTCTGTGGGCAGTTTGTTTGGTCAATCTCCTAGGATACAGAGAAAAGTGAGGCTGAGCAGAGGGACATCCATGCTACTGAGTTCTGAACCCAAGTGTCCTCCCTTCTGGAACACAGCCTCAAATTTTTCAGAGATGAGAATCGGAGCCATTAGAAATTAGTGGAGTCAAAAGACGGAACCAACTGGAAGAGGTGATGGGGAAAAGGGATGAGGAGAAAGATGAGAAGAGGAGAGACTGACTTAGGTGAGCAAATAGGAAGACAGAGAGAGGATTAGGAGAGAGGTGGGGATGGGGCTAGACACGATGGCTCACGCCTGTAATCCCAGCACTTTGGGAAGCCCTGGCAGGAGGATTGCTTGAGGCCAGGAGTTTGAGACCAGGGCAACACAGGGAGACCTTATCTCCACACAAAACAAATAATAATTTTAAAAAATTATTTCTGCCAGGCACGGTGGCTCACACCTGTAATCCCAGCACTTTGGGAGGCCGAGGCAGGCGAATCACATGAGGTTGGGAGTTTGAGACCAACCTAACCAACGTGGAGAAACTCCATTTCTACTAAAAATACAAAGTTAGCTGGGCATGGTGGCGCATGCCTGTAAGGGAGGCTGAGGCAGGAGAATCACTTGAAGTCAGAAGGCAGAGGCTATGGTGAGCTGAGATTGCTCCACTGCACTCCAGTCTAGCCAACAAGAGCAAAACTCCATCTAAAAAAAAAAAAAAAGTATTTTTATAGTGAACTGGGAAGAAAAAAAAAGACCAGGTCAGGCATGGGATGGGGAAAATAAAGAAAATGAGATGAAAGAAGCCGGGCACAGTGGCCCACCCCTGTAATCCCAGCACTTTGGGAGGCCGAGGTAGGTGGATCATCTGAGGTCAGGAGTTTGAGACCAGCCTGGCCAACATAGAGAAACCCTGTCTCTACTAAAAATACAAAAATTAGCCAGGTGTGGTGGCACACAGCTGTAATCCCAGCTACTCAGGAGGCTGAGGCAGGAGAATTGCTTGAACCCGGGAGGCGGAGGTTGCAGTGAGCCGAGATCATGCCACTGCACTCCAGCCCAGCCTGGGCAACAGAGTGAGACCCCATATCCAAAAAAAAAAAAAGGAAAGAAAGGAGCGAGTGAGAAAGGGAGGGATGGAGAGAGAGAGGGAGGAAGGAAAGAAAGAGAAAATGATGGAGAGGAGAGACAAAATATCGATGTCCCTCATTGATTCCTAGCCTTACTTCAACCTGCTTTCTAGAGAAGGCCCTTTCTAAGAGCAGAGTCATTGTGGGATCCTTGAGCTGGCTGTATGGAGGTATGGAGACCTGGGTTCTTTTTTTTTTTTTTTTTGCCTCTCTAAGATGGAGTTTCACTCTTGTTGCCCAGGCTGGAGTGCAATGGCTCAATCTCAGCTCACTGAAACCTCTACCTCCTGAAAGTTCAAGCAGTTCTCCTGCCGCAGCCTCCCAAGTAGCTGGGATTTCAGGTATGCACCACCACACCCAACTAATTTTTATTTTTTTAGTAGAGATGGGGTTTTACCATGTTGGTCAGGCTGGTCTCAAACTCCTGACCTCCAGTGATCTGCCCACCTTGGCCTCCCAAAGTGCTGGGATTACAATTACCTACAGCACCTGGCCAGAGACCTGGGTTCTAATTCCAGTTCTGTTACTCATTAAACAACTCTGGCACTAATTTTTTTTTTTTTTTTTTTTTTTTTTTTTTTTTTTTGAGATGGAGTCTCATTCTGTTGCCTAGGCTGGAGTGCAGTGGCATAGTCTTGGCTCACTGCAACGTCCACCTCCCAGGTTCCCAGGTTCAAGCGATTCTCCTGCCTCAGCCTCCCAAGTAGCAGAGACTACAGGCGCATGCCACCACACCCAGCTAATTTTTGTATTTTTAGTAGAGACAGGGTTTCACTATGTTGGCCAGGCTGGTCTTGAACAACTGACCTCGTGATCTGTCTGACTCAGCCTCCCAAAGTGCTGGGGTTACAGGCATGAGCCACCGTGCTCAGCCTTTTATTTAAAAAAATTTTTTTATTATACTGTAAGTTCTGATATACATGTGCCATGGTGGTTTCCTTCACCCATCAACCCGTCATCTACATTAGGTATTTCTCCTAATGCTATCCTTCCCCTAGCCCCCACCCTGCAACAAGCCCCAGTGTGTGATGTTCCCCTCCCTGTGTCCATGTGTTCTCATTGTTCAACTCCCACTTGTGAGTGAGAACATGCCATGTTTAGTTTTCTGTTCTTGTGTTAGTTTGCTGAGAATGATGGTTTCCAGCTTCATCCATGTCCCTGCAAAGGACATGAGCTCATCCTTTTTTATGGCCGCATAGTATTTCATGGTGTATATGTGCCACATTTTCTTTTTCCAGTGTATCATTGATGGACATTTGGGTTGGTTCCAAGTCTTTGCTATTGTGAACAGTGCTACAGTAAACATACGTGTCCATGTATCTTTATAGGAGAATGATTTATAATCCTTTGGGTATATACCCAGTAATGAGGTCACTGGGTCAAATAGTATTTTTGGTTCTAGATCCTTGAGGAATCTCCACTCTATCTTCCACGATGGTTGAACTAATTTATGCAACCACCAATAGTGTAAAAGTGTTCCTATTTCTCCACATCCTCTCCATCATCCGTTGTTTCCTGACTTTTTAATGATCACGATTCTAACTGGTGTGAGATGGTATCTCATTGTGGTTTTGATTTAAATTTCTCTAATGACCAGTTATGATGAGCTTTTTTCCATGTTTGTTGGCCCACTAATTCTTTTTAGTTCACCTAACCTTTCTAGTTCTCAGGCTCCTTTTCTATAAAATGAAATCCAGCTCAGACCTTCGATGGTTCCCTGATTTGAAACTGGTCCTCTGATCCAGACCATCCTGGCCAACACGGTGAAACCCCATCTCTACTAAAAATGCAAAAATTAGCTGGGCATAGTGGCCAACGCCTGTAATCTCAGCTGCTTGGGAGGCTGAGGCAGAAGAATCACTTGAACCCAGGAGGTGGAGATTGCGGTGAGCTGAGATTGCACCACTGCACTCCAGCCTGAGTGACAGAGTGAGACTCCATCTCAAAAAAAGAAAGAAAAGAAACTGGTTCTCTTATGATCACATGTCATATGGATACAGGTGTTTTTGTTTGTTTTTCTGGTTTTTTTTTTGTTTTTTTTGTTTTTTTTGTTTTTTGAGACGGAGTTTCGCTCTTGTTACCCAGGCTGGAGTGCAATGGCGCGATCTCGGCTCACCGCAACCTCCACCTCCTGGGCTCAGGCAATTCTCCTGCCTCAGCCTCCTGAGTAGCTGGGATTACAGGCACGTGCCACCATGCCCAGCTAATTTTTTGTATCTTTAGTAGAGATGGGGTTTCACCATGTTGACCAGGATGGTCTCGATCTCTCAACCTCGTGATCCACCCGCCTCAGCCTCCCAAAGTGCTGGGATTACAGGCTTGAGCCACCGCGCCCGGCTGGTTTTTTTTTTGTTTGTTTGTTTGTTTTGAGATGGAATTTCACTCTTGCTACCCAAGCTGGAGTGCAATGGCGCGATCTCAGCTCACCGCAACCTCCGCCTCCTGGGTTCAGGCAATTTTCCTGCCTCAGCCTCCTGAGTAGCTGGGATTACAGGCACGTGCCACCATGCCCAGCTAATTTTTTGTATTTTTATTAGAGACGGGGTTTCACCATGTTGACCAGGATGGTCTCGATCTCTTGACCTCGTGACTCACCCGCCTTGGCCTCCCAAAGTGCTGGGATTACAGGCTTGAGCCACTGCGCCCGGCTGTCTGTTTGCTTTGAGTTGGAGTTTCACTCTTGTTGCCCAGGCTGGAGTGCAATGGCATGATCTCGGCTCACAGCAACCACTGCCTCCCAGGTTCAAGTGATTCTCCTGCCTCAGTCTCTCGAGTAGTTGGGATTACAGACATGTGCCACCATGCCTGGCTAACTTTGTATTTTTAATAGACACATGGGATGTCACCATGTTGGTCAGGCTGGTCTTGAACTCTTGACCTCAGGTTATCTGCCCGTCTCAGCCTCCCAAAGTGCTGGGATTACAGGCATAAGCCACCACGCCCGGCTGACAGAATATGTCTTAAAAGAGGCACTCTTTTTTGGTAGGTAGAGAAAATTTGAAATGTAGTTCTGGGACTTGGGTAATTTATTTGGTCCATTAAAACCGTGAGAATAACTGTAAAGAAAAATTATAAAATATGTTCTACCATGTGAAGGTAGAAGACAACTAAGTGTTGTTGAAGAGAAAACAGTCTGCTCTAGCCCTTCAGGAGCTGGACAATCTGCGTGGGAGCATAGAGAGGGCTCCCAGAATAGGGAAGCTGGAAGGCTTCCACCTGGAAATGAGAAGGCCAGGGTGTGGAGAGATTCTAGTTTCTGAAAAAGACATCCAGCAAGATGTTGGTTCCTAATAATGAGAGGGTGTGGAGCGAGCAAAATGTGGCACTAGTAGTCTGTGGGGTATTGGGTAGGAAGGGGGTGCTGGCAGACACTTTGGTTTGGTTCTCTCGGAAGAGAGCCATGGAAAATAGTGGAGGCTCTGGGATCAGAAATATCTTGGTTTAAATTCTGATCCTTATGTGATTTGAGGCAGGCTTCTAAACCTATCTAAAGTCTCAGAGTCACTAAACTCAAAATTAGAACCAAAAATCAACTACAGACTATGTAGCTGAAGTGCCTGGCATATAGTGGGCACTCAGGAAACACTGGTTTCTTTCTGTTCCTTAATCTTCAAGATTCACCCAGAACCCTTTGTTCTTCCTTGCTTCTTTAGAGGACCCTGGTGCCAGCCGGTGGAACAGTGGGTGATGGCGTCCCTGCTGCAAGACCGTGAGTGCCCCTGCAGGGGAAGAGGGGTTAGGATACAGCTCAGGGAAGGGAAGGAGGCTGGACCCTTGTTCCAGAGCTTTCCTGGGGCCCAATACCCTCTCTGCTGGCTACCTAGCCCGTGCTTTTCCTGACCTAGGGCTGACCACCGATCAGGACTTGCTGCTGATGCAGGAAGGCATGCTGATGCGCAAGGTGAGGTCCAAAAGCTGGAAGAAGCTGAGATACTTCAGACTTCAGAATGACGGCATGATGGTCTGGCATGCACGGCAGGCCGGTGGCAGTGCCAAGCCCAGCTGTGAGTCACCTAGATAGCCGGGGGTGGGTACATGGTTGGATAGGGTCTTGAGGAGCCCAGCAGCCTGAGGGCAGGGGAGGGACCAAAGTCCTACAATAGTGTGTGTTTGTGCTGTCCTAACTGTGGCTGTATCTGAGCCTGTAAAAGGAGATCATAACAGTACTTGCCTCGTAAGGCTGGTATGAGGATTAAATTAGTTATTGTATGTAAAGGGTTTAGGCCGGGCGCGGTGGCTCAAGCCTGTAATCCCAGCACTTCGGGAGGCCGAGGCGGGTGGATCACGAGGTCGAGAGATCAAGACCATCCTGGTCAACATGGTGAAACCCCGTCTCTACTAAAAATACAAAAAATTAGCTGGGCATGGTGGCGCGTGCCTGTAATCCCAGCTACTCAGGAGGCTGAGGCAGGAGAATTGCCTGAACCCAGGAAGCGGAGGTTGCGGTGAGCCGAGATCGCGCCATTGCACTCCAGCCTGGGTAACAAGAGCGAAACTCCGTCTCAAAAAAAAAAAAAAAAAAAAGGGTTTAGAAGAGTCCTGGTAGGGCCGGGTGTGGTCGCTCACACCTATAATCCCAGTACTTTGGGCGGCCAAGGTGGGCAGATCATCTGAGGCTGCGAGTTCGAGACCAGCCTGACTAACGTGGAGAAACCCCATCTCTACTAAAAATACAAAATTAGCCGGGCGTGGTGGTGCCTCCAGTAATCCCAGCTACTCGGGAGGCTGAGGGAGAATCACTTGAACCCGGGAGGTGAAGGTTGCGGTGAGCTGAGATTGCGCCATTGCACTCCACCCTGGGAAACAAGAGTGAAACTTCATCTCAAAAAAAAAAAAAACAAAAAACAAAAAACAAAAAAGAGCTCTGGTACATAGTAAGATGTAATAAATCATTGGTTATATCTTGTTATTATTATAATAAGACCATGATCTCAGGCTTCAGCCTGCCTAAATGAAAGCCCTGGCTCTGCCACTTTCTGAATAGCTTTGGACAAATCAAGTAGTTCAAACTATGGCTGGGCATGATGGCTCAATGCCTGTAATCCCAGCAATTTGGGAGGTTGAGGCAAGAGGATTGCTTGAGACCAGAAGTTCAAGACCAGCCTGAACAGCATAGGGAGACCCTGTCTCAACAAAAAATAAAAATAAAAAATTAACTGGGTGTGGTGCTCTATGCCTGTGATCTCAGCTATTTGGGAGGCTAAGATGGGAGGATCCCTTGAGCCCAGGAGGTTGAGACTGCAATGAGCTGTGATCACACTACTGCACTCCTGCCTGGGGAGCGAGACCCTGTCTCTAAAAAATATATATACATATATGCATACACACATAAATCAAGCTTCAGTTTCCTCATCTGTAAAATGGGGATCAAATAGTACCTGCTTAGTAGGTTACAAGGACTCAATGAGTTAATGTGTAAAACACTTAGCATGGGATGTAAAACCAGGATGTATTTAATAAATGTTAGCCATTATGATAAATATTTTTAAATATAAAAAATATGGCCGAGTGTTGTGGCTCACGCCTGTAATCCCAGCAGTTTGGGAGGCCAAGGTGGGTGGATCACCTGAGGTCAGGAGTTCAAGACCATCCTGGCCAACATGATGAAACCCCATCTCTACTAAAAATATAAAAATTAGCTGGGCGTGGTGAGGGGCACCTGTAGTCTCAGCTACTCAGAAGGCTGAGGCAGGAGACTCACTTGAACCCAGGAGGCAGAGGTTGCAGTGAGCTGAGATCATGCCATTGGACTCCAGCCTGGGTGACAAGAGGGAAATTCCGTCTCAAAAAACAAAACGTAAAAAATCATAACAGTGTACACTTATTGACCAAACTCTTTATGATAACAGGACATAATCTGATGACAGGACACATCTAAGAGAGTCTGTTTTAGAGACATAATTAAATTGCTCACATTCCATACCACCCCCAGCTGAGGTAAGGGGATGAAAGAATTTCTCTGGTTCCCTCGTAGACATCTGGGAAGAGGAAGCTCTCAAACCCGGAATGGGAGAACTGGACTTGGGCATATAATGCTTTAGTAGAACTGCTTCTGCCTTTCAAATGTGTTTCCATTTGTCATCCACACCGGTCCTCCTGTGATCACCACTGGGGCTGCCTATGGAAGGGGACTATCTATCCATTATTTCAGATGAGGACACTGAGGAGTTAAGTCATTTTGGTTTGTGTCATCCTGCCAGCTTGTGGCTGGAAGCCATGTCTTGCCACTTTCAGCACCGGCTCTTTCCTGTGCTGCCTTTGAAAACATCAGTGATTCATGGGGACTCCTGAATCCCTGGGGCATCTCTCTGTACTAATGCTTTTTGGGATTCAGCCTGCAGAGGCTGGGGTTCCTTTCTATGGTATTAGGGAGAAGGGGGTGCTGGTCTTTCACCTTTAGCCCCTGCTATTTGCTCGACTCCCTTCCTCAATGCCTGCTTCTTCTCTGGCAGTCTCAATCTCTGATGTGGATACAATACGTAACGGGCATGATTCTGAGTTGCTGCGTAGCCTGGCAGAGGAGCTCCCCCTGGAGCAGGGCTTCACCATCGTCTTCCATGGCCGTGGCTCCAACCTGGACCTGGTGGCCAACAGTGTTGAGGAGGCCCAGATATGGATGCGAGGGCTCCAGCTATTGGTGGATCTTGTCACCAACATGGACCATCAGGAGCGCCTGGACCAGTATCGGCAGGATGGAGTCAGGGTGGGGGTGGGGGATCACTATCCCTGAAGGAGCCAGATGCAATAGGTCTAGGAAAGGTGAGAAGGGGTGCAGGCCTAGGGAGGCCCAAGGGTCTAGATGGTATGGGCGGGGACAGCTCAGGCCAATGTGAGACTGAGACTACTGAGGGAGGAATGGATGCCAGGGATGACAAAGCCAGGCATGAATCAGGACCCCCAGGATTGGAGGAAGAGACAGTGAGAGGCAGAGGAACAAACAGGATGCTGCTCCTAAGAGCTGCATAGAAGATCCCAGTGACGTTAAATAGCATATAGGTGGGAAACAACCCCTTAGAAGGCTCAATGATACAGACTCACTTCAAGTGTCCTAGATCGTATGCCATTTCCTTCATTTATTCATTCATTCACCATCTATTAAGGAGAATGTATCAGGCACTATGCCAGACTATAGGGGTACAGTGATTAAGAAGACTCACATATTGCTTCAATTAGTGAAGAGGATAGAATTGTGTAGATAATTTTTTTGGCCAGGCACAGTGGCTCACTCCTGTAATCCCAGCACTCTGGGAGGCCAAGGCAAGCAGATCACTCGAGGCCAGGAGTTTGAAACCAGCCTGGCCAACATGGTGAAACCCCATCTCTACTAAAAAAAATACCAAAATCAGCCAGGTGCGGTAGCTCACGCCTGCAATCCCAGCACTTTGGGAGGCCAAGGTGGGCAGATCACGAGGTCAGGAGTTCAAGACCAGCCTGGCCAACATAGTGAAACCCCATCCCTACTGAAAATACAAAAATTAGTCTGGCATGGTGGCATGTGCCTGTAGTCCCAGCTTCTTGGGAGGCTGAGGCAGGAGAATTGCTTGAACTCAGGAGGTGGAGGATGCAATGAGCCAAGGTCGCACCACTGCACTCCAGCTTGGGCAACAGAGTGAGACTTTGTTTCAAAAAAACAGACAAACGAAACCCAAATTAGCTGGATGTGGTGGTGCACACCTGTAATCCCAGCTACTTGAGAGGCTGAGGCAGGAGAATTGCTTAAACCTGGGAGGCAGAGGTTGCAGTGAGCCGAGATCCTGCCACTTCACTCTAGCCTGGAGGACAGAGTGAGATTCCGTCTCAAAAACAAAATAATAATAATAAATATATATATATATTTTTAATTTTCTTAAAGGTTCAGAGAAAGGAAAATCCAAGACAGTTTGTGGAGGGGAAGGGAATCAACAAATGGCAAAAGTCACACAGATGACAAACCAGAAAGAACCCACTCCCAAAGCCCGGGCTGCCATTGTAAAATGGCGGAGGTTAAACCAAAGCACTGCCATGTGGCTACAGGTCATGCTCCCAAGGACTTAAAACAAAATAGAGGCCTGCAGAAACGTTTGCTACTGACCATGCAGAAAGACATGCAAAGCACACCAGATTGGCTGTAGCTTAAGACCAGCTCACACATCCCTTTTCTTTTCTTTTCTTTTTCTTTCTTTTTTTTTTTTTTTTTTTTTGAGACGGAGTTTCGCTCTTGTTACCCAGGCTGGAGTGCAATGGAGCCATCTCGGCTCACCGCAACCTCCACCTCCTGGGTTCAAGCAATTCTCCTGCCTCAGCCTCCTGAGTAGCTGGGATTACAGGCACGTGCCACCATGCCCAGCTAATTTTTTGTATTTTTAGTAGAGACGGGGTTTCACCATGTTGACCAGGATGGTCTCGATCTCTTGACCTTGTGATCCACCCGCCTCGGCCTCCCAAAGTGCTGGGATTACAGGCTTGAGCCACCGCGCCCGGCAATATATATATTTTTAAATAGAGACAGGGCCTTACAATATTGCAAAGACTGGCCTCAAACTCCTGGGCTCAAATGATCCTCCTTAGCCTCCCAAAGTGCTGAGATTATAGGCATGAGCCTCTGTGCCCAGCCTATGTAAATAATTTAAGTGCCATAGAAGTATTATGATACTTAGATCACTGCAGATATTCAAAATAATTTTTTTTTTTTTTGAGACAGAATCTCACTCCATCACCCAGGCTGGAATGCAGTGGTGCAGTCTCTGCTCCATGCAACCTCTGCCTCCCTGGTTCAAGCAATTCTCATGTCTCAGCCTCCCTAGTAGCTGGGACTACAGGTGTGTGCCACCATACCCAGCTAATTTTTTTGTATTTTTCATAGGGATGGGATTTCGCCATGTTGGCCAGTCTGGTCTTGAGACTCCTGATCTCAGGTGATCCACCCACCTTGGCCTCCCAAAGTGCTGGGTTTTCAGGCGTGAGCCATCGCGCCTGGCCAGAATATGGATTTCTTTCTGCAGGCAACAGGGAGGTCCCTGCAGGTGCCTGGGTCATGCAGTAACAAGATCGATTGGTGCTCTGGAGAGATTATTCTAGAAGCTGTGTGTAGAATTGATTGGCACTGGGGAGAGACTGGCAGGAAAGACGGGAGAGATTTCAGTGGATGAATGTGCACACACAAACACATATATTAGTGCTTTTGCCTTGACTCAGACCTGGATGGCTGAGTGACTGGTTTCAGCGTGGAGACAAAAATCAGGATGGTAAGATGACTTTCCAAGAAGTTCAGCGGTTACTGCACCTAATGAATGTGGAAATGGACCAAGAATATGCCTTCAGTCTTTTTCAGGTGAGTCTGCAGGGAAGGATTTCCAGCAGCCAACCAGGCCACATTTCATTGGGCCACAAGTCCTCAGACCCCAGTCTGAAACACTCAATTGTTAAATTTCTGCTCTGTGCCCTGAGTACTAGGCTCAATGCCCTATGCTCAATGGGAAGTGTAGGGGGTGATTCTTGCCTTTCAGCCTTGTTGAAAAGTCATAATTCTATGAAAGGTAAATAACAATATGTTATTCTGTTGGACCTCAAAGACCTCTCTGTCCATGGCCAGAATTTCACAGGTGCCTAGAACAATGGAAAACCCCAGCTGGAATGTGAGTAAATAGGAGGAGGGATCTTCTGACCTTTTAGGGGCCTTTGGGAAATGTAACTATTTCTAATTGAAAATTTTTTCTAGTAGCAAATGGTATGGCTAAAATTTTGCCTCTTAGGAAGTGATTTATTTTATGAATACTAAATGTTAGGAGTTCCGTGGGAGTTTTATGGAAACATGTTTGCATATATCTGCCTGTAAGATTGCTCTTACAGTACAAGTCAAGATCGTATTTCCAGCCAGGCATGGTGGCTCATGCCTGTAATCCCAGCACTTTGGGAGGCTGAGGCAAGGTCAGGAGATTGGGACCATCCTGGCCAACATGGGTGAAACCCTGTCTCTACTAAAAATACAAAAATTAGCTGGGCACAGTGGCACATGCCTGTAGTCCCAGCTACTCGGGAGGCTGAGGCAGGAGAATCGCTTGAACTTGGGAGGCGGAGGTTGCAGTGAGCCGAGATCGCGCCACTGCACTCCAGCCTGGCGACAGAGGGAGACTTTGTCTAAAAAAAAAAAAAAAAAGATCGTAACATTTTCCACTTTCGGAGATGTGCTTATTTCAAATTGCATGCCTATATCAAAACATCTAATTTACGTATAAATAGATACACCTACTATGTATCCACAAAAATTAAAAACATTTCTTTTTAAATTAAAAGAAAAAGGTCATAACATTTCCCATTAAAAGGTTCATTCACTCTCTCCTAAACCCTTTATTGCAGGAAGCAGACACATCCCAGTCTGGGACTCTGGAAGGAGAAGAATTTGTACAGTTCTATAAGGCATTGACTAAACGTGCTGAGGTGCAGGAACTATTTGAAAGTTTTTCAGCTGATGGGCAGAAGCTGACTCTGCTGGAATTTTTGGATTTCCTCCGAGAGGAGCAGAAGGAAAGAGACTGCACCTCTGATCTTGCTCTGGAACTCATTGACCGCTATGAACCTTCAGACAGTGGTAAGAGGAATCAGGTGGGGAGGCACCAGATGTAGGGGTTGGAGAGAGGGGCATGATTACAAGGTCCAGAGACAAGAGGTCCTCTGCTTAACTGAGAGAAGGTTGAGAAGGTTGAGCCTACCCCTATCCTGACCCCTGCCCAATCATCTCATTTAACCACGCCTCCTGAAGGAGAGCAGGCGTTCCCTGTTCAGACAAGACAGGTTTCCTCTGAGGTGCTAGATTTCTCAGGAGGAAGATCCCATGACTCCCCATTCCTCCACTATGCTCATATTTCATACCCTTTACTTTCAAGTTCTCCCTGATACCAGCTTTGCCCTCAGTGGAAACGGAAACCGTTGATCCTCTTGCTTTGGCCTCTTCTCTAGTGCAAATGATTCCTTTTCCTCTGGTTCATTCATGGTTCCTGTTTGCTGTTCCTTTAAATGTTGGCTCTCTGCCCCTTCCTGGGTTGTCTTCAGTTCTCCAAGGGGTTCTTGGGTCTCTAAGCCCCTGAGCCAGAAAGCCAGTTAGTCCCTGGCTGGAAGAATGATAAGGAGGCCAGTTATTTAGCTTTTAACAAGTGCAGCTGAAATATATCCTCTTGGTCTTCAAAGTTTCTTCCTGCCCTCCATTCCCCTCAAGGTGTGAGAAATTTACATCAATAATAAATTATTTACAAGGAACTTACACATTCCTCATTTCATTAAGTTCTCTGTACAACCTTGTAAATCAACAGTAATCTTTTTTTTTCTCTTTTTTGAGATGGAGTCTTGCTTTGTCACCCAGGCTGGTGTGCAATGGTGCGATCTTCACTCACTTCAACCTCTGCCTCCCAGGTTCAAGTGATTCTTCTGTCTCAGCCTCTCAAGTAGCTGGGATTACAGGCACCCACCACCACGCCCAGCTAATTTTTGTCATTTTAGTAGAGAGGGGGTTTCACTGTGTTGGTCAGGCTGGTCTTGAATTCCTGACCTCACAATCCGCCTGCCTCGGCCTCCCAAAGTGCTGGGAATACAGGCGTGAGCCAACGTGCCTGGCCAACAATAATCTGTATTGGCCCTTTACTGCGTATCCCATAATGCACTAATATCTTATGTACATTTTCTAATACAATGACCTGTTGAAATAGGTCCTGTTATTAAGTCAGTTGTATAAAAGAGGAAAACTTAAGTTTAGAAAGATTCAATGACTTGCTCAAAGCCAACAGCTAATGAGAGAGGAACTGAGATTCAAATCCAAGTCATCTGAGTCTTAGCTGGTGCCTCTCTTGAGAATAAGGACAAGAGATGGAACGAATGAGAGCTGGACAAATGATCCAGGTTTTCTGGGTCTAAACTCTTACTCCCTTTCATTCATTCATTCACCATTTATTCATTCATTACTACAGTGAATGCTTATTGAGTTCCTATAATGTATCAGGACCTATGCTAGGCACCAGAGATACATTAGTGCCTAGATCAAGCAAGGACACTGCCCTCATGAAACTTAGAGTCAAACAGAAAACATTAGAGTCAGTTATTTCAGATTTGTTCGGGTGTTCAGAATAGAGCAGAGGTTGTAGGTTGAGTGTGATGGCTCACATCTGTAATCCTAGCATTCTGGGAGGCCAAGGCAGGCAGATCACCTCAGGTCAGGAGTTTGAGAACAGCCTGGCCAAGAGGGTGAAACCCCGTCTCTACTAACAACACAAAAAATCAGCCGGGTATGGTAGCAGGAGCCTGTAATCCCAGTTACTCTGGAGGCTGAGACAGGAAAATCACTTGAACGCGGGAGGCAGAGGTTGCAGTAAACCAAGATTGCACCACTGCACTCCAGCCTGGGTGACAGAGCAAGACTGTCTCAAAACAACAAAAAAGAAAAAAGAAATAAAAAAAGAAAGAAAGAAAGAAAGGCCGGGCATGGTGGCTCACGCCTGTAATCCCAGCACTTTGGGAGGCTGAGGTGGTTGGATCATGAGGTCAAGAGATCAAGACCATCCTGGCCAACATGGTGAAACCCTGTCTCTACTAAAAAAATACAAAAATTAGCCAGGTGTGGTGGCATGCGCCTGTGGTCCCAGCTACTCGGGAGGCTGAGGTGGAAGAATCGCTTGAACCCAGGAGGTGGAGGTTGCAGTGAGCCAAGATTGCACCACTGCACTCCAGCCTGGTAACAGAGCAAGACTCTGTCTCAAAAAAAGAAAGAAAAAAGGAAAGAAGGAAGGAAGGAAAGAAAGAAAAAGAGAAAATAGGATCTTCTGTTCCCAGTGCAGGATCCAGTAAACATCAGTTACATTTCTTTCAACCCCCACCTCTCTTAGTGTTTCCTTCCCTTGCACTTGACAATCAGATACTATACTCTGGCCACAGATTATAGTATCAGTCAAAAAACCTTGGACTCAGGCCGGGCGCGGTGGCTCAAGCCTGTAATCCCAGCACTTTGGGAGGCCGAGGTGGGTGGATCACGAGGTCAAGAGATCGAGACCATCCTGGTCAACATGGTGAAACCCCGTCTCTACTAAAAATACAAAAAATTAGCTGGGCATGGTGGCGCGTGCCTGTAATCCCAGCTACTCAGGAGGCGGAGGCAGGAGAATTGCCTGAACCCAGGAGGCGGAGGTTGCAGTGAGCGGAGATCACGCCATTGCACTCCAGCCTGGGTAACAAGAGTGAAACTCCGTCTCAAAAAAAAAAACAAAAAAACCTCGGACTCAAGTCTCCACTGTGCTTCTTATTAACTGCATAACCGTGGGCAAGTCACTTAAGCTAACTAACTCAGTTTCCTCATTTGTCAAATAATTGATGATCAAATGAAATAATGCACATGAAATGTATCTGGCAACTGTAAATTTATCTGAGTGATTTGAGTTGCTATGGTCAAGAAGGAAACTTCCTGGCCAGGCACAGTGACTCATGTCTGTAATCCCAGGATTTTGGGAGGCTGAGGTGGGCAGATCACTTGAGGTCAGGAGTTCGAGACCAGCCTGGCCAACATGGTGAAACTCTGTCTCTACTAAAAATACAAAAATTAGCTGGGCATGGTGGTGGGCATCTGTAATTTGAGCTCCTTGAGAGGCTGAGGCAGGAGAATCACTTGAACTGGGAGGCAGAGGTTGCAGTGAGTGAAAATTGAACCACAGCACTCCAGCCTGGGTGACAGAGCAAGACTCCATCTCAAAAACAAACAAACAAAAAGAATGAAATTTCCACTAGATGTGGTAGCTCATGCCTGTAATATCAGCACTTTGAGAGGCTGAGGCAGGAGTACAGCTTGAGTCCAAGAGTTCAAGACCAGCCTGGGCAACATAGTGAGACCCCCATATCTAAAAAAAAAAAAAAAAAAATTACCCAGGTGTGGTGGTGCATTCCTGCAGACCCAGCCAATTCAAAGGCTGAGGTAAGAGGATTGCTTGAGCTGGGAGGTCAAAGCTTCAGTGAGCTGTTATCGTGCCACTGCATTCAGCCTGGGTGACAGAGCAAGACTCTGTCTCAAAAAAAAAAAAAAAAAAGAGAAATTTCCTGCCCAACTTTCTGTCATTCTACACCATCTCCAGGTTTTGTGAAACCTGGAGCAAGGAAGCTGGGCATGAGAGTGAGGTTGTTTTACCTAACAGGTGAGCGTCCTTGTAGCAACATTATTCTCAGTGAGACCGCACAGTCCAGTGGTGCAGGGCATGGCTCTGACACCTGGCTGCCTGGATTCAAATCCCAGCTTCTACACTTACTAATTAAGAGACCTGGAACAAGTTACCTAACCTCTCACGGCAAATTATATTACATCTACTTCATCACGTTAGAGAGAACATTAGTGAGATGCTGCATGTAATGCCCTGGGCATAGAGTGAGTGGTTGATAACTATTAGTCACTATTGTGTAAAACTCATACTGAGATGGGTGAGAGTTATGGAGAGTAACAGGGCCCGTTCCTCGATGGAAGTGTAGTCTAAGAGAATGTTGAAAAAATGTGCATCAGTACATCATATGGGAACAAAGAGAGTAAGAAGAAACCCTCAGGCCATAATTAGTCGCAGGTATACAGCCCGAGGAAGAAAATACAGGTAGCTTGGCCATGTCACTAAGTCTTTGACTTTGATTCTCTGGATCTCAATTTCCCCAGCTATGAAGAATTAGTCCTTTGGGGCCACACAGTGCCTCATGCCTGTAATCCCAGCACTCTGGGAGGCTTGGGTGGGCAGATCATGAGGTTAGGAGTTTTGGACCAGCCTGACCAACATGGTGAAACCCCAGCTCTAAAAAAATAGAAATAAACAAAATTAGCTGAGTGTGGTGGTGCATGCCTGTAATCTCAGCTACTCGGGAGGCTGAGACAGGAGAATTGCTTGAACCCGACAAGCGGAGGTTGCAGTGAGCCAAGATCAAGTTATTGCACTCCAGCCTGGGCAACAATGCCAAAAGTCTATTTCAAAAAAAAAAAAAAAATTGCGTTTTGGATGTTGTCCATTATAGTAACTGGGAGCTCCATTTGGCTATTTAAATTTAAATTAATGAAAATCGGGGGGCCGGGCGCGGTGGCTCAAGCCTGTAATCCCAGCACTTTGGGAGGCCGAGGCGGGTGGATCACGAGGTCAAGAGATCAAGACCATCCAGGTCAACATGGTGAAACCCCGTCTCTACTAAAAATACAAAACATTAGTTGGGCATGGTGGCACGTGCCTGTAATTCCAGCTACTCAGGAGGCTGAGGCAGGAGAATTGCCTGAACCCAGGAGGCGGAGGTTGCAGTGAGCTGAGATCACGCCATTACACTCCAGCCTGGGTAACAAGAGCGAAACTCCGTCTAAAAAAAAAAAAAAAAAAAAAAAAATAGCCGGGCTCGGTGGCTCAAGCCTGTAATCCCAGCACGTTGGGAGGCCGAGGCGGGTGGATCACGAGGTCAAGAGATCGAGACCATCCTGGTCAACATGGTGAAACCCCGTCTCTACTAAAAATACAAAAAATTAGCTGGGCAGGGCGGAGCGTGCCTGTAATCCCAGCTACTCAGGAGGCTGAGGCAGGAGAATTGCTTGAACCCAGGAGGCGGAGGTTGCGGTGAGCTGAGATCGCGCCATTGCACTGCAGCCTGGGTAACGAGCGAAACTCCGTCTCAAAAAAATAAAAATAAAAAAACAAATAAATAAAATAAATAAAAATAAATAAAATAAATTAACGAAAATCTAATAAAATTTAAAATTCAGTTCCTCAGTTACACAAACTACATTTCAAGTGCTCAGTAGCCACATATGGCTAAAGGCTACTATATATGACATTGCAGAATAAAACATTTTTCTCCTTAGTACTGTAGCATAAAAAAAGACCCCTAAAAAGTTTTTAAAAAGACATTTATTTCATTATAGGAAGTTCCGTTAGAGAGCACGGGACTCGAATGACCTTAACTATTTCCTTTAACATTCTTTGAGGGTGGGAATGATTGAAATGATACACACTAGGTGGGGCAGGTTTGGGATCTAAAGGCTGGGAATGGATGCCATCTGAAAGGCAGGACTCTGGATGGGGTGGGATGAAGGATGGGCTGGGATGTTCCCATTCAGAGCTTCTCACTCTAGTGTTCCCCTATCCACACTCCAGGCAAACTGCGGCATGTGCTGAGCATGGATGGCTTCCTCAGCTACCTCTGCTCTAAGGATGGAGACATCTTCAACCCAGCCTGCCTCCCCATCTATCAGGATATGACTCAGCCCTTGAACCACTACTTCATCTGCTCCTCTCACAACACCTACCTAGTGGGGGATCAGCTTTGTGGCCAGAGCAGCGTCGAGGGATACATACGGTGCAGTGGTGGTAGAGAAACAGTCCAACTCATGAGAGGGACCATGTAGGAAAGTGAGGAGAGCCGTCAGTGTCTAACAGATGGGGACAGTGTTGCGGGGGTTTAGGGGCTGAGGAGCCCTAGATACCTGGAACCCTTGGAGGAGATATTGAAGACTGGTGGGAGAATGGTAATGAAACCGTATGGGTAAGGGCCGGGCATGGTGGCTCATGCCTGTAATCCAAGCACTTTGGAGGCCAAGGCGGGCGGATCACCTGAGGTCGGGAGTTCAAGACCAGCCTGACCAACATGGTGAAACCCCGCCTTAAAAAAAAAAAAAAAAAAAAAAAAAAGAAACCATATGGGTAAACAGAACTTCTCTTTCACAAGCTATGAGACTCGGGAACTCAGAGGCCCTGACAGACTTATATTGAACAAATAAATAAATTGTTGAATGGAAGGCAATAGAGAATAGGAGTTTAAAATATAAGTTCTAGAGTGAGACCATCTGAAGTCATATCCTAGCTCCCTCACTTGGTACTCTGGGGCTATATTTTTTAAATTTTTTGAGACCAAGTCTTGCTATGTCTTCTGGGATGGAATGCAGTGGCGCAATCTTGGCTCACTGCAACCTCTGCCTCCTTGGTTCAAGCGATTCTCCTGCTTCAGTCTCCCTAGTAGCTGGGACTACAGGCTCCCACCACCACGCCCAGCTAATTTTTTGTATTTTTAGTAGAGACAAGGTTTCACTCTGTTAACCAAGATGGTCTCGATCTCTTGACCTCGTGATCTGCCCACCTTGGCCTCCCAAAACTCATGCTGGGATTACATGTGTGAGTCACTGTGCCCAGCCTCTGGGGATAAGTATTTAACCTCTAATAGTAAGTTCCATTCCTATTTATCCATCTATGAAATGGGGATGGTAACAGTGCCTATTCTGTCTGGGTTGCTGTAAAGAGATAATCCATAAGTCAATAGCTAATGAACAGTAGCTGCTTTTATTGTGACTAATCATGGATTAGATTGAATAGTCAAGATCTCTTTGTATTGCCAGCAACTGAACTAGTAGCTTCAAGGGACACAATGATGAGTGGAACATATAGTTTCCACCTTAGGAAGTCTAGCTGAGAAATTAAGGTGTAAATTTACTGAGAGTTTGAATAACCAAGGTGTTGTATAGGAATCAGACACTGTGGCTTATGCCTGTAATTCCAGCATCTTGGAAGGCCTACGGTAGGAGATCGCTTGAGCCCAGGAGTTCGAGATCAGGCTGGGCAACACAGTGAGACTTCGGCTCTACAAAGAATACAAAAATTGGCCAGGCATGGTGATGTGTGCTTGTAGTCCCAGCTACTTGGGAGGCTGAGGTGGGAGGATTGCTTGAGCCTGGGAGGTCAAGGCTGCAGTGAGCCATGATCGCACCACTGCACTCTAGCCTGGGTGACAGATTAAGACCCTGTCTCAGCCAGACATAGTGGCTCACGCCTGTAATCCCAGCACTTTGAGAGGCCAAGGCGGGCGGATTGCCTGAGCTCAGGAGTTCATGACCAGCCTGGGCAACATGGTGAAACTCTGTCTCTACTAAGACACAAAAAAATTAGCCAGGTGTGGTGGTGTGTGCCTGTAGTCCCAGCTACTCTGGAGGCTAATGCAAGAGAATCGCTTGAGCCTGGGAGTTGGAGGTTGCAGTGAGCCGAGATTGCGCCACCACACTCCAGCCTAGGCAACAGAGCAAGACTGTGTCTCAAAAAAATAAAAAAAAATAAGTAAATAAAACCAGAACACCAAAAGCATCATGAGGCAATGTGTGATAGGTTGCTATGAAAGGACTGTGAGTCGGGTGGGCTGAAGTATGGGTGGAGATCAGCATGAGCTTGCACCAGTGTCCCCGTGGACAGAGAAGGCTCTATGCAGACGTAGCTTGAAGGGGTCTGGATGGGTAAGTGCTGGTTAGCACTGTTCTCTCCAGAGTGGGGAGAGAGTCCCTAGGTAGATCAGATATTGACCTCTCCTATTTCTGGGGTGGGGGGTTCTTTCAGGGCCCTGAAACGGGGGTGCCGCTGCGTGGAGGTGGATGTATGGGATGGACCTAATGGGGAACCTATTGTTTACCACGGACACACCCTGACCTCCCGCATCCTGTTCAAAGATGTCGTGGCCACAGTAGCACAGTATGCTTTCCAGGTAGTAGTCCCAGGTTGGGGACACTGGTGAGGCCAGAAGGACTGAGGGAAGAGCGACCAGCTCTGGGTCTGGGGAGGGTGGAGTACAGGGGAAGTTCCATCAAAAGAGGATTTAACTGTAACTTGTCAGCCAAATATTAAAGGCTGATTATGAATAAGTGCTGGACATGTTCCTAATAATTAGTAGCTATGGAGGCAAGTCCTTATGGTTAGAAACTATTACTTCTAAGCCGGGCGCAGTGGCTCAAGCCTGTAATCCCAGCACTTTGGGAGGCTGAGGCGGGTGGATCACGAGGTCAAGAGATCGAGACCGTCCTGGTCAACATGGTGAAACCCTGTCTTTACTAAAAATACAAAAATTAGCTGGGCATGGTGGCGCATGCCTGTAATCCCAGCTACTCCGGAGGCTGAGGCAGGAGAATTGCCTGAACCCAGGGGGCGGAGGTTGCGGTGAGCCGAGATCGCGCCATTGCACTCCAGCCTGGGTAACAAGAGCGAAACTCCATCTCAAAAAAAAAAAAAAAGAAAGAAACTATTACTTCTAACAAATTCTATCACCCTTCTGGAAGAGGGTGGATAGGAGACACAGAGATAGTGGTGAGTAGGGCTGAAGAACAGGAATCTGGAGAATGAAAGCATGAGAGTGCAATGTGAACACCTAACCAGGGAATGTGGCCTGGCCTTCCCACTCAGAGCCTGAAAACTGGCATGTCAGACTGAGCACGGGCATGAGATTTGGGATCCCAAGATGCGAAAATGTCTTCAGATGTGGACAGTGTCCCGGGCATGGGTGCCAGACCCAGCAAGATCTCACTGAATCCTGTGATGGAGTTGAGTTTAGCCATCAGGGTACCCATTTGAGTCAGTAAGTAGGGAGGCCTAGGAAGCAGGTACTTGGAGAAGTAGGTTGCAGTGTTTTAGAACGCTCAATCCAGGCCAGGTGTGGTGGCTCACGCCTGTAATCCAAGCACTTTGGAGGCCAACGCAGGTGTATCACCTGAGGTCGGGAGTTCAAGACCAGCTTGACCAACATGGTGAAACCCTGTCTTTAAAAACAAAAAACAAACAAAAAAAACCCCTCTGAATCCACCATTCCCTCCCCTCACCACCAGACATCAGACTACCCAGTTATCTTGTCCCTGGAGAACCACTGCAGCTGGGAGCAGCAGCAGACCATGGCCCGCCATCTGACTGAGATCCTGGGGGAGCAGCTGCTGAGCACCACCTTGGATGGGCTGCTACCCAATCAGCTTCCCTCACCTGAGGTAGGGACACTGTTCCTCCAGCCCAGGCTCTGCTATGGCTTCTGTATTCCTCCATCTGGGCTCCTTCCTCTATGCCCCTCTGTTCCCTTCTTTCTATCCTCGGATGGCCCATCTTGCTCTTTAATGTCCTTAGATCCTTGGAGACAACTTTTAACTTTAAAAAAAATCTATGAACACAGAATTCTATTTATAGTTCTCTATGTTTTAAATCAACAATTTATGTTATTTCTTTTCTCAATGGAAGATCTTGATTTTTTTTCCTGGTAGCTCATAGTTGTGGAGTATACAAACAATATAAAGGGAAATCTCCCCTCCCATCATAATCCCAACCTCTCCCATAACAACCAGTTATCAATAATTTTTTTTTTTTTTGAGACGGAGTTTCGCTCTTGTTACCCAGGCTGGAGTGCAATGGCGCGATCTCGGCTCACCGCAACCTCCGCCCCCTGGATTCAGGCAATTCTCTTGCCTCAGCCTCCGGAGTAGCTGGGATTACAGGCACGCGCCACCATGCCCAGCTAATTTTTTGCACCTTTAGTAGAGACGGGGTTTCTCCATGTTGACCAGGATGGTCTCGATCTCCTGACCTCGTGATCCACTCGCCTCAGCCTCCCAAAGTGCTGGGATTACAGGCTTGAGCCACCGCGCCCGGCTTTTTTTTTTTTTGAAATGGAGTTGCACTCTTGTCACCCAGGCTGGAGTGCAATGGTGCAATCTCAGCTCACTGCAACCTCCACCTCCCGGGTTCAAGCGATTCTCCTACCTCAGCCTCCCGAGTAGTTGGGATCATAGGCATGCACCGCCACATCTGGCTAATTTTTGTATTTTGGTAGATACGAGGTTTCATCACATTAGCCAGGCTGGTCTCGAACCCTTGACCTCAGGTGATCCACCCTTCTTGGCCTTCCAAGGTGCTGGGATGACAGGTGTGAGCCACCACAGCCAGCCCTGATTTTCAAGTTATGTTTCTTTTTCTTTCTTTCTTTTTTTTTTTTTTTTTTTTTTTTTTTTTTTGAGATGTAGTCTTGCTCTGTTACCCAGGCTGGAGTGCAGTGGCACGATCTTGGCTCACTGCAACCTTCATCTCTCGGGTTCAAGCGAGTCTCCTGCCTCATCCTCCGGAGTAGCTGGGATTACAGGCACATACCACACACCTGGCTAGTTTTTGTATGTTTAGTAGAGATGAGTTTTCACCATGTTGGTCAGGCTGGTCTTGAACTCCTGACCTTGTGATCTTCCCACCTTGGCCCCCAAAGTGCTTGGATTACAGGTGTGAGCCACCGCGCCCAGCCTCAAGTCATCTTTCTAAAGGCTTTCCCACAATAAGATTATTCAAAAAGATTATCTATTTTCTTCTCATATTCTTAGGTTCTTTATACTGACATGTAAATCTTTAATCTATAAGAAATAGTGTGTCAAATGTGTGGTAGGAGACCATATATATTATTTTCCATATGGATAGAGATGTTAAAAGTTTGCTTAACAATATGGGAATTCCAATTGTCTTTATCAATGAGTTCATCTCTTCCCTTGGGAACTGCAACCACTCACTCACTTCTTCTGCCTTTGAGAACAATGAAACCAGCATGATTCCCAGGAAGACCCCAAAGCAGACAGGTAGACAGGCCCCTTCATTTTGGTCCTCTAGGAGCTTCGGAGGAAAATCCTGGTGAAGGGGAAGAAGTTAACATTTGAGGAAGACCTGGAGTATGAGGAAGAGGAACCAGAACCTGAGCTGGAGGGTGAGCAGGAGTCAGAATTGGTGCTGGAGTCCCAGTTTGAGCCTGAGCCCCAGGAGCAGAATCTTCAGAGTAAGGACAAAAAGAAGGTAAGCCAGGAGTGATCTTCCTGCTGTGGCATTTAGTCAACTTGCACAAGCTGAGGGCCTGTTTGTGAAGGGATTAGAGCCAGGCAAGGTGCAGGGCCAAGGAGCAATGACCTTTCGTCCCAATGAAGGAGATGTAAGAATGCATACATGGCATCACTGTATATTCTATATTGCCATATACAGGTATATTGCAGTGGCTTTCCAACTTTTTTGGGCCATACATTTTTTTTTTTAATGAAATCTTATACAAAATAGATAAATGCAGAACTATCCTAATTGAAGCACCCACTTGGCTCTCTCCTGGGTGTCCCAGTGACTCCTGAGGCATTTTTGTACTTCTCGTTTTTTTTTTGAGATAGAGTCTCATTCTGTCACCCAGGCTGCTGGAGTGCAGTGGCGCGATCTCGGCTCACTGTAACCTCTAGCCCCCAGGTTCAAGTGATTCTCCTGCCTCAGCCTCCTGAGTAGCTGGGATTACAGGTGCCTGCCACCATGCCAGGCTAATTTTTTTTTGTATTTTTAGTAGACATGGGGTTTCACCATCTTGGCCAGGCTGGTCTTGGCCTCCTGACCTTGTGATCCACCCGCCTCGGACTCCCAAAGTGCTGGAATTACAGGCATGAGCCACCGCTCCCGACCTTCTTGGTCTTCTTAAAGGCCAGTTTAAAAACCAGGGATGAGGTTGTGTGTGTTTGTATGTGTAACATTATTGGGCATAGTTAGAGAAAGCTTCTTGGAAAGGGTGAGTGTTAGGAAGAGCCAGCAGTAGCCAGAGGAGCAGGAAGGAGAGTGCTTTGAGGTGGCGAAGGTGAAGGCTCTAAGAAGGCTGTGCTAGGTGGTCCATCTCCCTATGGGGAAGGGAGGCAGAGGAGAAGGGATGCCATTGGTGGCGCCTCCAAGATCCCCGTTTGAAGTCTGCCTTTCTCCCTCTTGTGCACTGGCGTGGCTCACTCAGCTGACTGACTCCTAGCTTATCCTCTTCCTTCTGGGGCTGTGGTGTCTAACCTGCTGCCATGTCTAGGGATGGAAATGGGAATTCAGGAGACAAATCCAAAGATATTACTCTGGGACCCTCACGTCCTTCCAGGTGTGACTTCCATGACCATTTGCATACCTTGGCACATCTGTCTGGATTCATGTACATCTTGACCAAAGATGATTCTTCCTTTGTTTTAAAAGACAGGGAGGGAGAATGATGCCTCTCTGTTCAATAATAAATTAAAAACCTGTTACCCAGGATATACCATAGAGCAAACACAAGTCCAGAGGCTGACGCTGATCCCAGCAGTACATGCAGACTGCCTTTATTCCCACTCCCACCCCCAGGTTGTGACGTGCCCGCTGTTTTGTCCGTCTATCTGTTGTCAGATTACGGCCCAGGCTACTATTTCCAAGCCTGAGTCCCTTCTCTTGTCCCAGCAGGTGAGGCAGGAGGGAGAACACAGTGGGGAGGCAGTGGGCAGAGGCTTAGGTTGGATGGCTATTAGCTTCTCTCAGACTGCTGAGGGTTCAATTTCATCTTCTTTTCCATCTTATCTCCAGAAATCCAAGCTCATCTTGTGTCCAGCTCTCTCTTCCCTGGTTATCTACTTGAAGTCTGTCTCATTCCGCAGCTTCACACATTCAAAAGAGCACTACCACTTCTACGAGATATCATCTTTCTCTGAAACCAAGGCCAAGCGCCTCATCAAGGAGGCTGGTCAGGACCAAAATGGAGGATGGGGAGGGAAGTGGGATGGATAGGTTCAGGCCTGAGAAACTGGCAGGTAAGTCCCAAGAAAAAAGACAAGGTAGCTAAGGAGAGATGAAGGACTTCAGAAACTCCTCAGAGCAGGCAAGGGCAGAGGAGTTATGAATGGTGGCTCAAGGCTCTGGGGGGAAGAAGGCTGAGAACATGGTCTGGATGGAACAGAGTGGAGAGGCACACTGAAACTTTCTGGAGCCAGCTTCAGTTGCTGGAAAGAAGAGTGAAGTGGGTAGGCAGTGTCCTTGGGACCAGGGAAGTGGGAAATTCCACCCCACTTCCATCTCTCTATACCCTTTTACAGGCAATGAGTTTGTGCAGCACAATGCTTGGCAGTTAAGCCGTGTGTATCCCAGTGGCCTGAGGACAGACTCTTCCAACTACAACCCCCAGGAACTCTGGAGTGCAGGCTGCCAGATGGGTGAGGAGGCCAGCAGGAACTGGGAAGAGGGAGTGGAGGAGGAGCAGGTGGGAAGTAAGTTCTCTAGTGCCAGGTTGCGTTGGGGAATGCTCAAGAAAATTGCTAGGCTGAAAGGCCGGGCACGGTGGCTCATGCCTATAATCCCAGCACTTTGGGAGGCCGAGGCAGGTGAATCACGAGGTCAAGAGATCGAGACCATCCTGGTCAACACGGTGAAACCCCGTCTCGACTAAAAAAAACAAAAATTAGCCGGGCATGGTGGCATGTGCCTGTAGTCCCAGCTACTTGGGAGGCTGAGGCAGGAGAATTGCTTGAACCCAGGAGGCTGAGGTTGCGGTGAGCCGAGATCGCACCATTGCACTCTAGCCTGGGTAACAAGAGTGGAACTCCATCTCAAAAAAAAAAAAAAAGAAAATTGCTAGGCTGAGAAATGCTATCAGTGGAGGTATTACCAGCAGGCATCTTATACCCAAGACCCCCATCTTCTGAACTCCCTGAAAGAGGGGCTAGAAGGCCTCCATGGTGAACTTGCTCTTCTTTTTTCCTGGGGCCCTCAGTGGCCATGAACATGCAGACTGCTGGGCTTGAAATGGACATCTGTGATGGGTATTTCCGCCAGAATGGTGGCTGTGGCTATGTGCTGAAGCCAGACTTCCTGCGTGATGCCCAGAGTTCCTTCGACCCTGAGAGGCCCATCAGCCCTTTCAAGGCCCAGACTCTATTAATCCAGGTACAGTGGAAAGAAACTGAGATATCTGGGATAGAAGTTGGGGAAGAGGTGGCTAGGCCTGACAGGAATGTAGAGGCTGGATAGCCTGTTTACAGTGCCTAGCTTCAAACCACAATTTCCTAATTTGGTAGTGTTGGGCAAGTTCCTTTACCTCTCCATACCTCAGTCTGCTCACCTGCAAAATGAGGGTAACACTACCACCTTCTTTATAGGGTTATAAGAGTATAGCAGTTAATATAAAGTCCTTACAACTCCAGGTACATAGAAAGTGCTATAAAAGAGGGCTGGCTAGGAGCGAGAGCTTACACCTGTAATCCTAGCACACTGGAGGCCAAGGCGGGAGGACTGCTTGAGCCCAGGGCAACAGTGAGACCCTTGTCTCTACAAAAAATTTAAAAATTAGCCTGACATGGTGGCACATGACTACAGTCCTGGCTACTCAGGAGGCTAAGGCTGGAGGGTCACTTGAGCCAAGGAGTTGCAGGTTGCTGTGAGCTATGACCACCCCACTGTATTTCAGCTTGGGCAAGAGTGAGATCATGTCTTTTCTTTTTTAGAGACAGTTTCATTCTGTCACACAGGCTGGAGTGCAGTGGCGTGATCTTGGCTCACTGCAACCGCTGCCTCCTGGGTTCAAGCAATTCTCCTGCCTCGACTTCCTAAGTAGCTGGGATTACAGGCATGCACCACCATGCCCAGCTAATTTTTTTATTTTTAGTAGAGACGAGGCTTCACCATGTTGGTCAGGCTGGTCTTAAACTCCTAATCTCATGATCCGCCTGCCTCAGCCTCCCAAAGTGCTGGAATTACAGGTGTGAGCCACTGTGCCTGGCCTGTGACCATGTCTCTTTGGAGGAAAAAAAAAAAAAAAAAAAAAAGAGGCTGCTATTATTAGCATGCCTACTTTCAAACTGTTAAGTTTCTACCTGGATGCATTTTTAACATTTATTCATTTATTTATTCATTCATTCAGAGACAGTCTCACTCTGCTGCCTAGGCTAGAGTGCAGTGGCATAACCTTGGCTCACTGCAACCTCGACCTCCTGGGTTCAATTGATCCTCCCATCTGAGCCTTCTGAGTAGCTGGGCCTGGCTAATTTTGTATTTCTAGTGGAGATAGGGTTTCACCATGTTGGCCAGGCTGGTCTTGAACTCCTGGTTTCAAGTGATCCACCCACCTTGGCCTCCCAAAATGATGGGATTACAGGTGTGAGCCACTGCACCTGGCCTTTGGATGCATTTTAAATTGCCCATAAGAGTACTAGAAGAAACCCCATGGAGGATAATATAAACCAAAAAGCTTCCCCTCCCCTGGGGTTGGGGGTAGGGTGGGGTGGGGCTGGGTTGAGCAGGAACTTGTGAGGTTCCAGAGCCCTGGTTACAGGTGATCAGTGGTCAGCAACTCCCCAAAGCGGACAAGACCAAAGAGGGGTCCATTGTGGATCCACTGGTGAGAGTGCAGATCTTTGGTGTCCGTCTAGACACAGCACGGCAGGAGACCAACTATGTGGACAACAATGGTGAGAAACTGGCAGTGCTGGGGAGGTGGGGGTGGGAGCATGATTAGTTTTCCTTCTAGTCTGCCTTCCATTAAGTATAGTCTGTTATTGCATGGACCCACATGGGAGGCAGTGTGGAACAGTACAAAGAATCCTGGCCCTTCACTTAAAAGCTCCAGTGACCTGGGCAAATTACTTGCTTACTCCGAGCCTTTTTCCTCGCCTGTAAAATGCTGATTGCTACCTAGATTAAACAAGAACACAGGAAAAGCAACCCAGTCAAGAAGATTGTCTTTTTTCTTCATTTCCTGCAACCCAGTCAAGAAGATGGTCTTTTTTCTTCATTTCCTACCTATCAATTCAGGTTTTAATCCATACTGGGGGCAGACACTATGTTTCCGGGTGCTGGTGCCCGAACTTGCCATGCTGCGTTTTGTGGTAATGGATTATGACTGGAAATCCCGAAATGACTTTATTGGTCAGTACACCCTGCCTTGCACCTGCATGCAACAAGGTGAGCCAGCCCCTGTGACCCCTGACCAATACTCCAACTCTGGCTGCCTTCCTAATGCTGTCCTCCTGGCCCTTCCAGGTTATCGCCACATTCACCTGCTCTCCAAAGATGGCATCAGCCTCCACCCAGCTTCCATCTTTGTGTATATCTGCATCCGGGAAGGCCTGGAGGAGGATGAGTCCTGAGTTGGGCACTTCATGGGAAGAGTTGGTGTGCTGGCTTTAGATAGTGAGAAACACCTGGAAGGCTGCTCTAGAGAACAAATGGAGGTGGTGAAACCAAGCTTTGGATTGTGCATTCCTAGGCACAGAATTACCTCCTCTTTCCTAACAAGCAGATCTGGGACCTCATTTCCCACCTTTTTTCTCTCTTCTTTTCTTCCCTTCCCTTGTTTTCCTAAGCCTTTGGCATCTTTCCTGCCCTTTCCCTTTGTGTACTCTATACTGGAGTTCCCTTCTTTCTCTTGCTGTAGGCTCAATCCCATACCAACATCTACGACTGGTATTTCCCATCAACTCTTGCGAAGGCAGATTGCAACTAGAAATTCAAAAGGGTTTGGAACAGAGAAACCCCAACTTTACTCAAAGCCCAAAGCCAAGGGAAGGACAAATAAAGGCCCAAGGCTTCCCAGGCAAAAATTAGGGAGAGACTTGACCCCAGGACTGTACTATGACTCTCAAGAGAACACTGCACAGCACTCACAGTCCCCACTCGACTGCTTCCTCCTTAGCCCCAATGGTATAAATACATCTCTCTCCAATTTGACTTGAGTATGATCTGTCACTGTTGGGCAGGAAGGGGAGGTACAAGGGTTGTGGGGACATCTGGGTAGTTTGGAGGAAAACATAGAGAAAGAAAAGGTTCCCAGGAGACCTCTTGCATATGCTACACAGGAAGGACACAGAGTATGGCTTTTAACAATCAGGGAGGCCGGGCGCGGTGGCTCAAGCCTGTAATCCCAGCACTTTAGGAGGCCGAGGCGGGTGGATCACGAGGTCAAGAGATCGAGACCATCCTGGTCAACACGGTGAAACCCCGTCTCTACTAAAAATACAAAAAATTAGCTGGGCATGGTGGCACGCGCCTGTAATCCCAGCTACTCGGGAGGCTGAGACGGGAGAATTGCCTGAACCCAGGAGGCGGAGGTTGCGGTGAGCCGAGATCATGCCATTGCACTCCAGCCTGGGTAACAAGAGCCAAACTCCGTCTCAAAAAAACCCAAAAAAACAAAAAACAATCAGGGCAGGCTGGGTGAGGTGGCTCATGCCTGTAGTCCCAGCACTTTGGGAGGCTGAGGTGGGCGGATCACAAGGTCAAGAGATCAAGACCATCCTGGCCAACACAGTGAAACCCTGTCGCTACAAAAAATACAAGAAATTAGCTGGGCATGGTGGCTAGTACCTGTAGTCCCAGCTACTTGGGAGGCTGAGGCAGGAGAACTGCTTGAACCCAGGAGGCAGAGGTTGCAGTTGAGCTGAGTTTGCACCATTGCACTCCAGCCTGGTGACAGAGTAAGATTCCATCTTTTAAAAAAAAAAATCAGGGCAAAAGGAGACGAAGGGTGGGCTGTGTTGTTCCAGCCTTCCTGAAGAGTCTGCCTGGAACCATCCTGGTTTATGTGTGTTGTCCCAGCACAATTATTTTTATTTATTTATTTTTTTTGAGACAGTCTCGCTCTGTTGCCAGGCTCCAGGCTGGAGTGCAGTGGTGCAGTCTCGACTCACTGCCACTTCCACCTCCTGGGTTCAAGCATTTCTCCTGCCTCAGCCTCCCGAGTAGCTGCAACTACAGGTGCACGCCACCATGCCCAGCTAATTTTCTATTGTTTTGGTAGAGACAGGTTTCACTATGTTGGCCCAGATGGTCTCGATCTCTTGACCTTGTGATCCGCCCGCCTCGGCCTCCCAAAGTGTTGGGATTATAGGCGTAAGCCACCGCTCCCGGCCTAGCATAATTATTAATAGTACCCGCTTTAGTTTTCCCAGTGTGTCCCAGTTTAGATCATCAATTATATAGCAAGGCACTATAGCATTATACTATGAGGCACTTAAAGAATTCTCAACTGGAGATTCTCCTTGCTAGTCATCTGCCTTTCCATAGTATCCTTGTGCTTCAACAGCTTAATGCAGCTGCTGAGACAGTCTGAGGATTGATGATGAGCTAAAGCTGCTTCTAGGAGGCTTTAGTGGGTAGCAATCCTCCCTCTACAGATACAGGTAGACAGAGGAGCTTGGAAGTAGGGAGCAGAGCAAGGGCCAAGACAGGCTCAAGGACAGGGAGAAGGCAGACCTAGGCCTGTTTCAGAAGCAATACTAAGTGAAGATGGAAGGAGGCAAAAGCGAGGCAGAGGTCTGAGAGGGGACAGAGTTGATCAAGATGACAGCCTGGAAATGTTAAGACAGGGATTTGGATGAATCTATAATGTAGTAACCACTTTCTATTTAACATGCTTTATAGAGCATTAGGCACAATAGCACATGCGGTTAGATACAACTGTTTTGAGAAGATTCTGAAAGAAAATAGGACTTGACACAGTTAGAAGGAAAGAGAAGATGCAGTGGGTAAAATCCAGATCTTACAGCCAGGGACTTTGATGGAGTGAGGGTGAAGAAACTGTGAACTCACAGGTTAAAAACATAATGTATAGCAGTAAGAAATCAACATCAGAGGGCCAGGCACAGTGGCTCACACCTGTAATCCCAGCACTTTGGGAGGTCAAGGCGGGAGGATCACGAGGTCAAGAGTTTGAAACCAGCCTGGCCAACATGATGAAACCTCGTATCTACTAAGAATACAAAAATTAGCTGGGTGTGGTGGCATGTGCCTGTAATCCCAGACTCGGGAGGCTGAGGCAGAATAGCTTGAACCTGGGAGGCGGAGGTTGCAGTGAGAAGAAATCGTACCACTGCACTCCAGCCTGGGTGACAGAGCAAGATGCTGTCTCAAAAAAAAAAAAAAAAAAAAAAAAAAGAAATCAGTGTTGTAGTCCATATCCCTCTTTCATATGGGTGGTAATTTCAAAGTACTATAGCCAGAGTCCCAGGAGGATTCTAGTCACCCTTGCACCCCAAAAGCCAGTCTTCCCTTAGGCTCTGAGCTCCTCAGGCTAGCACTGGTCAAAGTCTGCGCATCTCAGACTATACCCTCTTCCTATCCAGGAGGTGGGGCAGGCTCTCAGCCCTCAGGTCCAGTGTGGGGAGCGGTAGGAGCAGGAGGGCTGGGATCCTCCAGCTGCACATCATGCAGATGCACCGTAGGGGTGGTGGGGTCTTTGCCCACACCCTGATTTGGGTCGGCTTGGTCAGGGTGGTGCCTGCGCACGTGCTTGACCACCTGGAATTTTTGCTTGGCCTTGTAGTTGCAGAGGCGGCAAAAGAAGGGGTGGCGGTCAGTGTGGGTGAGGGCATGATGGCGCAGGCCAGCAGCCCAGCGGAAAGCACGGTGGCACACGTTGCACACATAGGGTTTGGCCTCACTATGCTTGCGAAGGTGGGTACGCAGCAGGAAGCGCGTCTTGAAGGCCTTGCCACACTGGTCACACATGAAAGCCCGTGCCTCTCGATGCTGTGTCTCCTGGTGCACACGAAGTGCATCAGCCCGGTTGGTGCAGTAGTCACACTCGGGACACTGGTATGGCTTCAGTCCTACAGGACAGGGAACAAATCACCAACGAAAGGTGGTGGAGCAAGGTTCACTGGAGTTACTGTGATCCACAAATATAAAGAATGCAAGCAGCAGGTTAACGACCGTATTTTGGAATGCTCCAGATCTCCAGTCCTGTCTGACATTTCTTTTATTTTGAGATGGAGTTTTGCTCTTGTTGCCCAGGCTGGAGTGCAATGGTGTGATCTCAGCTGACTGCAACCTCTGCCTCCCAGGTTCAAGTGGTTCTTCTGCCTCAGTCTCCCAAGTAGCTGGGATAACAGGCATGCACCACTACACCCAGCTAATTTTGTATTCTTTAAAAAAAATTTTTAATATTTATTTATTTATTTATTTTTAAAGACGGGGTTTCACCATGTTGGTCAGGCTGGTCTTGAACTCCCGACCTCAGGTGATCCGCCTGCCTTGGCCTCCAAAGTGCTTGGATTACAGGCGTGAGCCACTGCGCCCCGCTAATTTTGTATTCTTAGTGGAGACAGGGCTTCACCATGTTGGCCAGGCTGGTCTCAAACTCTTGACCTCAGGTGATCTGCCCACCTTGGCCTCCCAAAGTGCTGGGATCATAGGCATCAGCCACTGCACCCGGCCCTGTCTGACATTTCTGTGCCCTTCCAACACAGCATCCTTGTACATCAATAAGAAATCAATGTTGTAGTCCCAGCAATCAATGTTGTGGGTGCTTAAAGGATGCTGATGATTAACTGGACCTCTAACCAGCCAGCTACCTGAGAGTAATGAATATTCAAACATGGAAGAGTTTCCACATGAGAAATTACAACCCTCTTTTGGTCACAGGGTACTCATGGAATTTGAGAATTCATTTAAACACAACTGCCTGTTCAACTCAAAAAGTCAAAGACCCTGTCTACAAAAAAATTAGGTGAGTGTGGTGACGTGCACCTGTGGTCCTAGCTAACTGGGAGGCTAAGGCAAGAAAATTGCTTGTACCCAGGAGTTTGAGGTTGTGGTGAGCTGTGACTGTACCACTGCACTCCAGCATGGGCAACAGAGCAAGACCCTGTCACTAAAAAAATTAAAATAAAAAAATAAGTTAAAGAAATAAGTAGGAGGAAAGAAGCAGAGGTGAAAGAAGTGGCATTCATAAAAGCAAAGGGCCTTGAAATGCCCCTAATCAATTCCTCCACATATGGAGGATCATATGCAATAAGCACAGGCACATGATTATGTGTGTGGTTTTTTTTTTTTTTTTTGAGACGGAGTTTTGCTCTGTCGCCAGGCTGGAGTGCAGTGGAGTGATCTCGGCTCACTGCAACCTCTGCCTTCCAGATTCAAACGATTCCCCTGCCTCAGCCTCCTGAGTAGCTGGGACTACAGGCATGTGCCACCACCAGCTAATTTTTTGTTTTTTGTTTTTGAGTTGGAGTCTTGCTCTATAGCCCAGGCTGGAGTGCAGTGGCGTGATCTCAGCTCATTACAACCTCCACCTCCTGGTTCTGGTTCAAGCGGTTCTCCTACCTCAGCCTCCCAAGTAGCTGGGATTAAGGCATGATCTACCATGCCCAGCCAATTTTTGTATTTTTTAGTAGAGACAGGGTTTCACCACGTTGGCCAGTCTGGTCTTGAACTCCTGACCTTGTGATCCACCCACCTTGGCCTTCCAAAGTGCTGGGATTACAGGCATGAGACACTGCACCTGGCCTGTTTGTTTTTTTGTTTTTGTTTTTGTTTTTTTTGAGATGGAGTCTCCCTCTGTCTCCAGGCTGGAGTGTAGTGGTGTGATCTCGGCTCACTACAACCTCCCTCTCCTGGGTTCAAGCGATTTTCCTGCCTCAGTCTCCTGAGTAGCTGGGACTACAGGTGCACGCCACCACACCTGGCTAATTTTTTTTATTTTTAGTAAAGACAAAGAGTTTCACCTGTTGGCCAGAGTGGTCTCAATCTCTTGACCTCGTGATCCACCTGCCTTGGCCTCCCAAAGTGCTGGGATTACAGGCATGAGCCACTGCATCCGGCCCAGATTGTGTGCTTTCAAGAGCCAAATGCTGGGTATGGTGGCTCCCAATGTGAAAATTGATGTTGGCCCTGAATCTGACCAAGGACATACACCATCTTAGTGAGGTTAGGCTTACCAGGGAACAAGG